ATTACGTGAGAGAGAGCAATATTTTGTAATATTTCACGATATTTCAAAGTATTCATTCGAACAAAATTAATCAAATAAATATTTCAAGAACAATGTATCATAATTAATTACCGCGAAATTTCAAATATGAAACTATTAAGCGTCTTTTAATTTCGTGTGCACGAGGACGGTTATGAAACTATATTTTGTAATTCGTTTTAATTGCACAGCATATTTCTCCTAACTTCAATATGTATCGACAATGCAACAGCAGGCGGAAATTTGTGATAAATGCTATGGCGAATCATCACATGATAGCATATTGAAAATTTTGAAGTTGCGTGCTTCAAGTTAAGTGTTTTTGTGCGCCGATCGTTTAAATCATGATTATACGTACAAGAGTCCCACGCGCCAATACAGAACACATTATATTCCAAATAAAATGAAATTTAGTAGACCAATTAGCAAGATAATAAGCTTTAAATATAATAACTGGCTAATTTAGCGCGCCAGGAAAGGATTATTAATGCAAATGGAATCAATAAACGGATAAACGAAAGGTTGGCCGATTTGTGCACGGCTCATCGAGTTGTGCATCGCGTTGGGAGAGAATTTAATCATAATACTTGCAATCGTGATACTTGCAATTTATCCTTATGTATCATATATCTACACAATTTATTTATATATAATTATTTATATATATATTTATTTATAATTCTCGCACATTATTATTTTTTATTTTCCTTCCATTTTATTTTCCTTGCATTTTAAAAACAAGAATTCAATTCAAAATCGTTGAAAAAATGTTTTAATTATCATGAATACTATCTACTTCAACGTACATACAATTTAAGCGAATTTCCTGTCAATATTTTTTTTTGCAAAGTCAAGAAAGATGTCGTTAAGACTCCTAGAACAGTGCAAATACGACCCGTGAAAAGTTTATTTTCGAAGGTTTTCAACACAATCGGAATTCGGATCAGATCGTGGAAAGAAGTTCGTTACAGTAACGAACTGGCAAACCTTTTACCGGACCCATGCGCACCCGACTCTTTCTTAATTTTGTTCTCCGAGTGAAAGAACGTCGAGTTTGTTGGACAAATCCACACATTTCCAACGACAGTGGATACATTTTTTCAAACAAACGACTATATAAATGTGAAAAATATACTTTATTTCAGTTTTTGCTATTAGCTAACAGATAGTTATTTCGGATAATTTAATATGAAAATCTTCGAATTTTATTAAGTTTTAAAAAATTATCAAAAATATTTCATGGGAATTTTCACGATAATGACTAAACTTTTTAAAATGTAAAAATAGTTATCGCGTTCAATATCATAAATTTCTGCTTCTGCTAATGCAACTCCTCATAATATAATATAATAAACACATGAATTGATTTATAAAAATACAAATCTCAATATCAAGGTATTTTATTATTGTTCAGGAGCAACGGGAGTTTCATTTTTTGTTTCTCTCCTTCTCCATTGACTTCGTGCATAGGTTTATATTGCAAAAGGCAAAAGTCCATTTCTCAACCGCACTATACTTTTATGTTCTTCGTTCTCTTTTATTCACGAATAAAAAGCTTTCTATTTTCTTTCTGCACAGAGTTAAGGGCCCAGTGACTCCTTTGTCAACTTTTTGTCGCAGACGGAAGTGCATCTAACCTTCATTAAGCGTGCCTAGTAAACGCGCGCGTTTCCGTAAACTTTTTTCTTTGCATGTACTTTCTAAAGTAATAGTCTATCACAATAAAATGCAACGCATATGAATTTTGAACAGATTTTATTTTATTTTATTTTATTAATGAAAATTAATGTGTCTGGAAAATTATATGTAAAATATTCCTCGGTTTTTTCAGAAATTATTACTAAACTACAAAAATTTGCATTTTAATTTTCATATCATCGGAGAAGGTTCCTGGTATTTGGCCTGACGTTTTGAAATATAAAAGCTTTATCATAACAGAGGATTCTCGAGTAAAACTGACGTGCTTGATAAATTTAATATAATACAACAAAAATAATATATAATATTTAATTGAAAACATTGAATTAAATGTTTCAATTAAGCTCTGATAATTACAAAATTATTGCACGTCTAGTATTTAAAATAATCATAATATAATTATCAATAAAATTATAATATTTAAAATAAACATTGCATAATTTCATAATTTTACCTAGAAAATTACAAAGACAGCTCGAGGCTTCGTTGTAAAACATATGACGTAATTTCTTTAAGAACAGCTATTTCACAATATGCACAGTAAAGTTTATCGCCTATGATTACAATTCTTACGTATATGGTAAAATTCTTCTGTATTTTTTAGCTGGGGAACGAAAATTTTCTTTCTAGTCGCGAACAAATTGTGATTCCGTGCTCGTGAAACCCTCGAAGGCACGCTTCGCATTTCGCTTCATGGAACTTTATAAGTTCCATCTCATGGTTCTCGTTGGCATCTGCGTAGAAATTTACGCGCGGTTTCGCCATAACGTGGCCATCGACTTGCCGTCCACGGCGAATAAACTTGCTTTAATGGCATACTGAATCGGTTTAACATCCCCGGATGCCGGAAAAGATTTTTCTTTTGCCAAAGAAACGCCGCCGAACGCTTTCGTCTAATGCTTTCCAAAATTTGCATCCTAATCTTCGTAAACCCCGGCAGGGATTACGGCCGTCTTCTTTCATCGTGCCGAGGATTTGCTTAACCTCGGCTTTCTTTGAGAGGCAATCCTCGTCCTACCGCGATCGATATAACATTTTACAGAGTCCCCTGTAAAGTGCATAGTTTGTAATACGCGCGCATAAAGGTATATAGGTAAAGCATATAAAAAGATTCAGTTTTTAAATATTGATTATAATTAATTAATATATATTTATCACAATGAATTTTTTTATTTTACCTAACGAAACCTAAGTAAGATTATTAATATCGACACGTTTACAATAAGCCTGTATTACATAATACACATTGATATTTCAACTTACATGTGGCTATGAAATATATGAAGGATTAATAAAGACCCTTAGGATAATTTGGGATTTAATGAAATATTCGAACCTTGAACGTATGAAAATCCATCGTAAATCTCATATAACATCGAGCGATAGATCTCAATCGATCTCTGAGAAGTGGTTGAAACTCAATGTAAGTTCAAGCGGTCCCATTAATCCGTAAATTACTGTAAGTACTGATGACATTATTAGTAGCCGGAGATGACGCAAGTTTCGCACCGCGAAACTCGTGGGGAGGTGACCGCCGAATTGGCAGCTAATCAAATACGCGGTTGATGAAGGTAAGAGATTTATTTATAGTAAGTAAATACAATTAGGAAAGTCACGAGTGCTCCGAGTAATCTTTAGTCCCAGCTGACGCTATATAACTTGACTATAGTCAACCTAACTAAATAATCGAATTAAAGGCGTCTTCTGGCGCGCGGTGCCCTCCCTGTTAGATCAAAGTTTTATCGAATTTTCCGCATTCATTTCTAACTTGTATCCGCCGTGATCTTCGGTTCATGTTTGTAAAATTAATCTTGGAGCAATATAGATATAATATTGATCGTAATGTATTAAAATTAATAATTTGACAAGCATGATATCGCAACGGTCATTCGTTGAGCATAATCTTCGAAAAAAATGCACTTTTAAATAGAAAATTACAGATATACACAACTACTAAAGAGATCTTTAATAATACTAGCAGGAGCTGCTAAATTTAAATATCACCGAATATAATACAGATGAATTAAAATATTTAAAAAATGAGAAAATTATTTTTTCTTTAATTAAAATTTGTTTTATATATGTATTTAATAATTAATTTTCTCCGATAATTTTATATTTTACGTAATTTAATTTTTTAAATTATTTCGTAGATTTTTTGCCTTATAAATGATTAAGAATCACAATTCTTAATTGTACTATTGTAAGGGAATTAAAATGCACAATGTTTCTCGCAAAGCTCGGAATTTCTTTGCGACAACCATCCAAAGTTTGAATATCGATATCCAGATATTCGGCACACTCTGCCAGCTTTCTAAATAGTTTTCAAGCGTGACAAACAATACCTTTGGTTCCCGATGAACATTTGATCAATCTCGAAGAAACATCGTGCTGGTGCTTTCTTTAAAAGAGCAACTTCTCACGAAATATATAACTTTTCTGTCATCTACAAGAAAAAGTTTCTAGACTTGTAACCATTCGCGATAACGAAACTTTCGCGTGTCCGAGTTGTTAGCAAGTGCTTCGCACTTTGTGCATGACATATTGACACGCATTTCAAATGCACTCTAGTTCAATGCGCAGATATCTCAGCAAGATTTCGTATGATCTCAAAAATCGGTAAAATTAATCGAGATTTTTTCGCGAAATAAAAAAAAAACAACACATGAAAAATTATGATGAATATTTCCTTTCATAAATACTGATAATATATGCAATGGACAAGTTATTATGATATGTTATTAAATTTATCGCTTGCATATTGCGGTATATATAAATAGATAAGCGATTATTGATTTATAATAATTGACAAATGGTTATATACCATCGTTATTCATCTCGTTATTATTATATATCTGCCGAATTTCTTGAAGCTCGTTTAAAAGACTTTTTTATCGACAGAAATCTCGGCAAAAACGGCGCAATGTCCGGCCCGTCAATAAAAGCACACATCAGTGATTTACGATCCGCATGCAAAATGATGACAAAAACAGGCCGCAATAAATCGCGCGACTACATCGGTCCCGTGGTTATTTCCTGTACATCACTTTGAAAGAATCCGTAAATTTGTCTGCCGTGAGCCAAGATCTCGTCATAAATACCGTGACCAGCATAGGTAGCAGACGGTAGCGAGGCATGCATGCAAAAGGCGCATACAGCTCCGATGTAGGTGACCCATAGTAATTTATCACGCTAATATTTTCTTTTATTGTCGTGACGCATAAAACCCGGCATGCATACTACGAGTTGCAGCATACTTATATATGGAAACGCGCGTGTTTCAGAATAAACGAGAACACAACACGGTCCCAGTTCCTGGCCTACTTCAGCTTCTCATCCAAAGCGAGTACATCTGTCGGCTGGCCGGTGAGGGGCGGACATCCCGTTAACAACACGGGTAAGATGTTCAGATTTCTCTCTTGCAGTGAAAAATGAAATTATGTTACGTTTCAACGCACAACTTTCTAATATACTGTAATATAAATTTCTCACACTGGGTTTTATAACATGCATTAATCAATAGACTACTTCCAAGCAGCAACATTTTCTTTCTTTCTTTTTTTTTTAGCAGTACTCGTAATTAATTTTCTGTAAAATTATTTCAATTGAAAAACTGATAATGCATTAAAACTCAAGAAAAATTTTGAAATTTACTCTTCTGAACAGCAAAAAGTAAAATTTCTTTTATGCTTTGCATTTCTATATTTCTATTGATATCTCATTGATATATTGATAAAACGTTTTGAATCGCAAAACCGATAACACACAAAGTCACGAGACAATCATACAGTAATCTGTTAGACAAGTGAGATTTTGGTGTTGCGTAAACTTAATCGCCAGATTACTTCCACTAACGCATCCCATTACTGACGGCTTCTATCGTAGACTATTGCTTGAACTACACGCCAACAACCTAGTTCACTATCATCTCCCATGACGGTAACTTCATCTTCTTGTAAATTACACCTCCGCGATATGTCTTATCATGAAGTATATTCAACACCGCAGGCGATCTATATAGTTAAAATTTTTCTTAATATCTACGTGAAAACTTTACAAGCTACGAAAGTAAACTTTTCCGATATACAGACACAATCATGTAATTTTTTAACTCGCACTATTTTTCACGAAATGTGGAGCGACATTTTTTCGCAGATTTTCAGCAAATAAAACATTTTTCGCGATATTTTTGTGAATCGAAAAGCACGAATATTTCCATGAATGATTTAATGAAGCAATTTTACTTGATTCTTTCGAAAAAGAACGTTTTTGTATCGGAACGAAAACAAACTATTTAACTAACTTGCTGAAGCGTAAACTTTGTAGTATATTCGCAAATTATCGACATGCGTTTTGCATGTGGAATTGAGTTACTATACGCTAACTCAGTTGCCCTTCTCGATTAAAGCGTACGTTAACGAACGTTCGCCGGATCTTTCTAGCGCGTATCGCCTATAAAATTCATAATAAAAAAATCACGATAAAAAAAAAATAAATGGAGGTCGGAGAAGAGAAAAACGGTTTATAATGTCTGCAAGCTGTAGAGCGAATTCTTCTTTCTCTCAGGGAGAAATCTGTAGGTAAATTGTGAGAATGGCATAGCTTTTGGGTATCTTCGCTCGAGATATATTTTGCAAATAATTTTGGAACCGGGCAGATGTGAACAGCAAATTACAGGAAAAAGAGAAATAGATGTCAAGGAAATTCACTTGCGCAAATTTACTTGCAAAAACCCGATGCAGAAGAGTAATTTCTCCCTAGTTAGAACGAAAATTATAGCTTAAATGCGGTTCGAAAGCGAAGGAGGAAACTGTTCGGCTCCGAAACTATTTAGCCATCGTAATCAAGAGCTAATTAAATCTCGAGTATCGATCCATCCTCGAGATAACTGCGCGCGATCTCTATCTTTAAACGCGTTTCTAATTTTCACTGCAATCGATGCTGCAAAGAGCTGCCTCGAAACGTTATAAAAGTCAGTTAGAGTTATGTAAAAATGATCAAGATAAAATATTATGAAGCTATTTTCGATGCTTTCCATAGCAAAAAAATATCAAATAAGTGTAAGATAATTTAAAATTGAAAATAAATTTATTTATAATTTATAATTCATTACGAATTTCTCTAACGAAGCGAACGCATTTTGTATAAGTGTCATTTTTTTGAGATCGGTATTTACAATCGATTATTGACTACTATTTGATCACACAGTGATTTTTCATGGCTTTTATGGCTATTGTATGTAAGTTGGAGAGGTAGTCAGGAAATTGAAAAGCCCTTTTAAAAAAATTGCACAACACTCTTATGAGAAAAGTTTTATATATATGTATCTTGAACTTTCATATCTAGTAATATTATATAATGACATACTAGAGTTCTCTGACCTGCACGTCACCCCAGGAAACATATGCCTCATTCGCAAACAAACAACGCTGAAATTGCGAAGAATAAAAAATATGTAAAAAGAACGCATTCATTATTTTATCTCTTATTACGCTGTAAAAAAATACTTATTTTATTTTATAATGTTCATATTACATACGTGCATAAGTTAAAGGCGCGCTTGTTCGAGTAGTATTTATTCTTCATCAGCTTTAAATTTATAAAAAGAGGAAAACATGGAACTATTTTTACAAAATATATATTTTTTTAGTTTTCATATTTATTAATACATATTTCTTCCTCCATTTAAATTCGCTTATCGCATAAATTTGAGTTTATCGATGATATGTTACACACACAAAGAAACTTTCACATTTCAAAATGTCCTTAAATATACCATTGAGCGATCATATAATGCTTATGCGTTTCGCAAACCTCAGAAAACGCATAATACAGAAATCAGCAATTTCTTTCTCGAGGCAGAACGGCTAAAAAGAGCGCGACGAAAAAACGCGAGAAGCGCAAATCTTTGCGACGGATTTTCGCACAGCGGTAAAAGCAAAGACCCCTTTGAAAGCTTCCCTTTGCGCGGTGAGATTGTAACGAGACGACAACGATTCTCGATTATCCTCGAGGAGAAGGCCATGGCGATCCATATGCGCGGTACGTACGACCGGGAAACGTGACTGCCACTCCGCCATCCGGATGAGAAAGATCTTTTTTTTGACGTTGGCACACGGTCCCGACCCTCGTCCTATTGCAGAACGTGCGAAAGAAACGGACGGAAGGCAAGGACATGAAGAAGAGTAGAGGAAAAGAGCGTGCTCTTGAGAGAAGAGTGAAAGGCAGCCCGTTTATATAGAGAGAAAAAGAGAGAACGTGTGGTGGCGCCACTCGATTGACAAACAGATCAATCGTGGGTGGAAAGACGATCCGCAGTCTTACCGCTCGACCTGGCTCCAGCTCCCTTTCTTGGTTTCCCCACACGTGCATTTACGCAACCCGCGCACACTCGCTCGACGAGGGAAGTTGGCTCTACCACTCTCGAATTTATCTCCCGCTCGGAAGAAACTGGCCGAGGTGATTTATATAAGAAGAGAGAGAGAGAGAGAAAAAGGGAGAGAAAATTATTGTATAGCGAAGAAAGAATTTTACTGTGTCTAAAAAGAATATTATTTTTTGGAAATAGTGTAGTGATGCATCCTTTACGCATAATATCATAAAAGAATATCAAGATAATATCAAGATAATATCATAAAAGAATATCAAGATAATATCAAGAAAGAAGAGCTACATTTACATATAAGATTAGTTTAGTTCTATTGAAACTAAACTAAAATTTGATTTTTTTATATGTTTATCTTATAATGAATTATTTTAGAATGTTTCCACATTTATTTATCTACCGTTATTAGAGCACAAAGTATTTAACACACAAGATCGATCAATATAAAGGTAGAATAGTGCACCTCCGGATAAGAAATGTAAGGGATTGAAAGATAAAGTAGATGTTGCTCGATTGACAAAGCGGTTGGTTGAGACTCGGTAAGAAACTCGACCAATCTACAAGCTTGTGCTACCACTTGGTCAGTCTCTTTCTTTCCTTTCTATTTGTACAATTGTACGATCACATAAACTAGCACTTACAAAAGAAGTGCTCCTAGCTGCCGCATTTAAGATAGATTATTCTACTGAAATTTCAGCACGGATCTCGACGCGTTTACGTACGATTCTATTGAAATTCCAATAGATTTTGATTTATTTAAGTGTAATATATTAAGTATTATAATTATATAAAGCTATAGAAAATTATATAATTATATAAAACTTATAAAATGATCAACAATATCGACAAGTTATAAAATTGATACAGAAACCGAGACAAACAGAAAAGCTGAGAGAAATATATATGTTTCAAATAAATAAAGAGTTATTTGTTTAAAATATATTTTAATAAATTCAAATATGTTTTTCATAAACTTATAATTGGATGTTATATTTAACGATATATGTTTCTGTACATGTTATTTCAATAATATGCGGCATACAAGAATACAAGTAGTCTAATTTTCCATTTCGCAAATATCCATCCGGCAAGTAAAACGTGTCGACAAACATTCGCATTGAAATATGAGGCAAGTATTACCACGAGATATTCACGCGCCATTTCGTCACGTTTTCCCATGATTTCCTATATTACTGTCCGTTTAAAAGCCAACATGTATCGTCAAACGATCAACGATCGTCCGTGAATTTTCGTAAAAATTGCTCGCACGAAATTATAGCCGTAGTTAATTACGTTAATATTTGTCAGAATGTGGAAACGTTAATTTCTATCCAGTTAGATTTTAAACGGACACCGAACAGAAAATTTGTATCGTGAAAAGAGTTTTAATTTAAATTTCATGTGAAAAAAGCTCGCGCTCTTATTCAGAAACCAGACATTCGTCGAAAAGTTAATTGCGTTTATCGCAAGTTCGCCGTTGCTTATTTTTCTCTTTCACTGCCTTTTGCGTACAAACGCCTATGCAATTTTCGCGGCTCTCCTGCTTCATCGCGCGGAGCATTCGCCGGTAAGTGAATAGAGCGAAAATAAAACAGGGGAGAGCCCCCGTTCCCCTAGGAAAAATTTTGTCGAATCGGGAGAACTCCATAGCAACTGTACGCGAAAGGAATAAAAACATCCTTTTTTTTTCTTTCCTTTATTTTTTCCTTTTCCTCGCTCAACGTTTCCATCTCGGGTTTATTACGACGCGCGGCGAAAGAAAGTCTTCGCGCGTCTTGCGCGGACATTTGCATAGAGTCCTCACTTTCTCTCATCTCTTCTGTCACTGCATTAAAGCGTTTTACCTTTATGATCTTAAACGCACGAGCGAAAAGTGAGTTTCTCGGTCAGCGCGTATCCATCGTGATAATTACATTATATATATATATATATATATATATATATATATATATATATATATCCGATTTATGAAAAAAACATGCATAATCGCATAAAAAAAATGTTTCTTCACACTCATTTACTTAAAGCGCGCTCCATAACTTTATTTCCGAAGAAATAGAGAATATCATTTTAGAAAAATTGACTTTTTATTAAAGTTCATCAAGTTTTATCAAGTCGTGTAAAATATTTTATTAATATTGTTAGATATATGATTGATAGATATATATATTCGCTATTATAGGAAAAGAATGGTATATAGTCGATGAAAAACATTTATTGTTCTAATTATGTTTATATTCTGCAGCAGTGTCGTAAAACTTTTCTTTTGATGTCATTAACCCAACTCGGTGTTTGAGCCTCGCCTGCGCTAACGAGGCAACTTTTCGAGCAAACTAATGCGTGGGTAATTAAACTCGATACTCTTTCAATTATACGTACAATTAACGAACTCGAAACTTTTTTTTAAAACCAAACAATTGACGTCCGTTAACTATACGGTCCAATTATCATCCGATTTGATCGAACAGTATCTAAGAAATTAATACTAGTTATCAAATAATTAGCGACTCAGTACCGTTGTGTTTTCTTTGATTAATGATTAATTTAATCAAGTTACAAGAATCAAATTTACAAATTTCAATCAATACTACAAAAAATGATTTGTTCTTTCAAACGGGAAAAAACCCTTCAAGAACACACGGAAAAATGAAGAACGAAGAAAATTATGCGGTTTAAGGTAGAAAATGAAAAAAAGCGGGACTGTTTATGGTAAAAGTGCGCTGAAGAGTTTGTGTAAGAAAGGATGGGAGATGCAAAGGGCATTTTATTAATTGAAAACTGTGTGCCCGAAGCTAGACACGCTTCATACCTAATGGGTCCAGCCATTATGATGATTGCATATGCCAGAACTATAAAGCTAAGCAAACAACGCCAAGAGGGCGGTACACAATCAACTGCGTTTTTTATTGTGGAAGAAAAATTATAACGGATCTACCATGCGCGCAAAAAACTGTTTGCTGAAACAAAATAAAATCGCGATAACATGTCAAAAATCTTTGCGGTACGTTAAAAATGTCTATTAAACAAACCTCATGTGTCGCTATGACATTAAAGTGATATTAATGCCTTTTTCGTATTTGCGTGCAGCTGGCAGTAATAAATACGAGTTTATTATACGTTTATGGAAATCATGTGTTTGCATATGTTATGAAAGTGGAATAATTGAATTGTGTAATGGATTGTCAATCACTGTTTGGATATTACAATAATCGTCGCGGACACATTGATTTGCCTATTCGAAAACAGCTTTGAACTTCAATATTTTCGCGTAATGCGAATATTGGTTTAATGACGCATATCTCGATTTATGATAAATCATATAAATCGCTAATAAAAAATTGGAACTATTAATAGATAACGGAGATATATTTGATTTATTGATTATAATATTTATTTATATATGAGAGAGATGCTTGATCTATATATATTAAAAATTTTGTAAAATAATTAATGGATTATAAATCCGTGTCTCTCTTGATGTTTTTAAAAATTGATGGTATAATCAATTAATTTTTTTTATAAATATCTTATTACATACATACACAATTTCTATATTCATATAAATAATATAATATAATTTATATTACATAGAGAGAGAAATTATCATCGAAGCGGAAATGCAAACTGCTCACATGCTGGGAATTCGTGGCCCGTGACTAAATTGGTAACCTAGGTCGCGTATACCGAATAATCTATAATTTCGGTATAGACACTTAGATATAGAGTATTTCGGATTGACCCTCGAAAATATTAATTAAGAATCACATGAATTGGATGCTGCTTGGACGCATCTCGTTAGCGCGTTCTATTTGATCAGCGTGTTGCTGTTGATGCATCTATCTGCGTCCTATTTTTTTGAATTTTTTATGAAGCCGCCAGACGTATTAATTATTTTCGGTCTTTTGCAAATCGTTCAAGCTTGTCTATCGAGCAGCCGGAAATTGAGATGGACCGTCGCTTTAATTGACATTCAATACATACTGTCTCAATCATCGATTACTTACTTTAATGAATTTATAGCAAAAGTTTCACTGAGAATATTGATACTTTAATTATAATGTTAATATTAAAATACTTCTAATTAATATTAAAAATGATGATTTATTAAAAATATTCATTACTCTTTATCAACAAATATTATAATTAAAAAATATATAACCAAAATTTTTCATATATTTTTCTATATTATAGAGAGATGAAACTTGATGATAAAATTAATTTGAAGAATATAAGAGGGAAGAATTATATATATTTGTACATGTAAAAATTAAGAGAAAGAAGAATAGAAATTTTGATTTACTGACATCTCCTGTTTCTGTTGCAGAATGTGACTCGGTGTACGAAGATACGGATTGTCACGACGGATGCGTTCTAGCTAGTCCCGGATATCCGGGATTGTATCCACCGAACATCCGTTGCCGGTACCTGATCACTTCTGGCTCGCGAATCTCCATTGCCATCAACTTCACAGCGGTGCTTCTTCCTTCCAAGTAAGCACGATTGTTCAATAATGTTAAATTTTTAGATTTTTATGTAGATAAACGCTATCCCTGTGAATATCGAGCATATTGACGAAATTTCCATTCATGGATATTTATTTGATAGTTTGTATAAAACATGTATTTTAGTTTTATTTGATTCTTACATGCAATGTAATTATTACATTGCATGTAATACGTCACATATTAATTATTATACTATCAAACACGTTAAAAAACTTAAAAACTCGTATGTAGAATGCTTAATTATGCACATAATAAAATAGCTCTGTTAAGAAAGAGATCGAGGAAACTAGTTATACGAATACTTAGAGAAAACGATTTTCCTTTATATGCGGTACCCGCGCGGTATAGCGTCCATTTCAAGATTTCTTTCGTATATTTACAGCGCGTGTCCATTTCTTTTGCGGCGCAGCCATGTGCCAGGAAAAACTACTCGACTTTCATAAGCCTGAGCGAAACAGGCTGTTGCGCGACAAATTAAAACCCCAGAAAAGTTGAGAAACAAAGAAAGAGAGAGGAGAATTGTACATGGTTCTTTGACGAGCTCACTTTTCCATTAGTACCAAGATTCCGTTTTGTAATAGCATCTCGACTTGGGGGAAAAAAGTGGACACCGGATACAATTCTCGAAGATAACCGAGTAAAAGAATAGCAAAAGCATAAAAGAAGCAAAAGTGAAATTTTTATAGATTTTTAGATGAAACTTCGAAATGTCATTCATTGATTACAATGAATTAATCAAAGTATTTTTCTTTTTATCAAGATAAAAAAATATTAATAATATTCAGTTTGCAGATTATTAGCATTACTTTGTTTTGAAATCGCAAAATTAAAAAAACTAAATTTTAAAATAAGTATATTAATAATTTTAAGTATATTAATAATTATATTAATAATAAGTATATTAATAATTTTATAATTTTAAAATAAGTAATACAGTGAAATGAATAACTATCTTTTGATATTGTATCAATTAATACACAAAAATAATATTATACGCATGATAAGTATACCAGCTGAATAATTCTGTATCTTTTGTATTTTGTGACAGATGTTAGTTAGCCTTCACATCGAATGTATCTCTTTTCTCTTTACCGTCATCGCCGGCCCGGATTATATTAGCGCGTTTCCGGGCAAAAATGAAAGAACAGCCGGAGAAAAAGAAGGGGAAAAAAAGAGAAATTTACCCTTTTGCGATTTTTTTTAGCCCGGGTATTTTTAATAAAACCCGTTTAAACGCAGCTCAGCTTGCATAACAAGCGCACGGAACTCTCTGTGTTAATCTCCCATGCATATAAATCATTTTCCACTTTACCGAAGAATCCGCGAACGTTTTCGAGCGTGAATCATTCATTTCTGTTTTTTTATTGCACAGAAATTAATTATAATAATATTCACACATCTTAAGGAAATTATAATTCAGGGATTAAATAAAAGATAAATAATATCATCTAATATTATACTTGAATATCTAATGCGTTAGTAAATAATTCAAAAGATTAAATAAAAGATAAGTGACATCAATTACTTGAGTACCTAATGCGTTAGCAAATATTATAAATACCATGGAAAAAGCTCCAGAGAATATGACAATAAAATGTGGACAAAATGATAAGGAATTTATTTGACATGTCGGCGTTTAACAGTCGCTTCAATTGATCGCCGTTTTCTGGAATTCATCTAAACACTCTTAAGAATCCCCAACGATGACTGTTGTATACATCTTAACGGCGCGGGAAACCAGTTTGTCGACACACGGTGTTCAATTCTGTAGCGCACACTCACGCGAATGTATGCGCTCCATGCGAAATCTGGTCTACAGAAACGTCGCGAGTCAATACGCATCCGCTTTGCACTTCGCCAAGGGTAAGAGCCCATTTTGTGCGTGCTCGAACGAGAGGGCTGCGCGGAAGGGGCGCCGGCGCGTATTTCGGCGCTTGATAATGCATCCCTCGTCTCGTTTCGTTGGCTATGTCAACAACCATCTTCCCAGCGTTCATCCCTCGCTCAAATTCATCCCCTGAGCAATAAGAATACACTCACACGCGCACAGAACCATTGTGCGTTTCGAATTACTTATTCCATGACGCACCTACTACGGGCACAAACCCGCGTTAAAAGCGTTACATTGTCATTCTCTGGATTTACGTGCTGTCAGTAATGCATGAAACTCAAAAATTCGATAGTTTTTTTTTGCATATATATCATATCGAGAATTTCATGCGTAAATCCGAAATTGTAACTTTACAGGAATGAGAAAAAATGTTTTGAAATTCAAATTTTATACATAGAAATGTAATTTTGATGTTCGAATGAGAAGACATTACGAATATTAATATTTTATTTAATATCATATTTTATATAATATCTTAATATTTCATTAATTATATAATGAATATTTTATTTTTCAAAAAATACGCCTCTTTATTTTAAAATTCTCAATGTATAATTTATATATTTCGTGAGAAAAAGCGCGAAAGAGAGAGATATTATATAGTTTGCTGATATAATTCTTCATAGAAATTTATTATCGAAAATTAAATCAGCCAAAAATAATTATCTACTTTGTTTGTGAATACAGTCTTTCTTATGATTTTAATGAGCGACCGAAACATACGATTTTTGTGAAGCAAAGTAATCGAACTTGGCTAGGGAACTCTCCGCGAGACGAGGAAATGCGACAAAGAAAGAAGTACGACATAGTCGCAGTAGGAAGGGCTCCCGCACTGCAGCTGTACTTGCTTTTTCACAGCAGTTCGTTGCAGTTGTTCTTCAAAACTGGATTGGCTGGCTGGCTGGTTTTTACGCCGCTGGAAAGCCATTTCGCGCGCAGAGTCTCGCAGTCGCGAATACACCAAGCATTTCCGTTCTCTAAAGACGGCCGTATTTTAAACCTCCTCCACTGGCATTCCCGTCTGCTTTATTTGCGAAACTGCGGCGGGCAGTAATATTGAAATTGACGGCCGGATGATCGTCGTAGAAGCACTTAGATTTTCTTCTTAGCCGCCAATTTCGTTCTCAACGCCCGAATGCTTTCACTGGTTGGATTTTCAAAGAAAGAAACGCGGAAAAATGTAACTTTCACTGTAAAAAATGCTCTACACATATGTTCTATAGATAATATTTAATTTTTTTTTTTAAATATATAATCTATTTTTCCTAAATCAATTAAAGAATCGATGTGCGAGGAAAATTGATAAGTAAATAAGAAAAAATGAATATGCCTCGAAACGATGCTATAGAATGTTTGTTTCGTTCCCATCAAAATATTTTAATAACGATGTGTAATCACGCGGCGAAAAACTCTGTTGAATTCTCGCGAAAAATGTATCGTTTTTTTACAGCAACTGCGCATTTGCTTTTGCGGCAACTATGCATTTGCTTTTGCGGCAATAATAAACTGTATTTTCCAACAGGCTGCAGTATGTAGGAAAATAAACTTGCGTAAACTGCCAATGAATTCGCTATGCCATTTCATTTCGATCGAATGGTAAGGTTCGAGATTATCGAAATCTTATTTCGAAATCTAATTATAAAAAGAGATATATTTTTTCTTCAATGCAATGGAATACTTACTTGTGTGAAAAATAACGATTATATTTCCGCATTTTATATAATTCTTAAATAATCGTTCAGAAGCAGCACGTTATACACATGCATGTGTAATAAGCGTACGAAATTTTAAACTGTCTATATGAAACTTTTTTATTAACTTATTTAAATTTTATATAATAATTTAAATAAATGCGAATAAAATATATAATAAAATAATATAAATAAATATGTAATAAATTAATAATATATATAATATATTGAAATAAAAGCGTATAATGTAATTAATTTTTTATAGAAATTGAATTTTATAGAAATTTAAATGTGTGTCTATTGATTTGTGGAATATAAAGTACTGAGAAAATTAATTTAAAAAAAATTATATATCGAGCAAATTATTTTATTTTGAATGATAAAATTGAATAATTTTCCATTATTGTATATCTTTTTTTCTTTTTTTCCTAAGTACTCTGTTTGCATGTTATATTATTGGGAAAAAAATACGGCTAATAAAAAGAACTGCATTACGTAACTTGTATGCAATACCGACCATATATTTTTTTCTATTTTTTGTATATTTGTTGCACGTGTTATACGTGAACACACAGATATAGCAGTTTAATTATCGGTTTTCGCAAATATTTTTCTTAGATTTTGCATACATACAAAGCATGAGTGATAGCAGTCATGAGAGAAGCTTATAAACGATAGAGACATAGAGTAAAGGATTCGCGCGATCAAATGCACATTACTCATATACATATATATACTGTTTTTTTCATAATTCTTTTAGTGCATGTAATTCCTCCAGCGCAAAACTTTGTGGCAACAAAAAATCGCGATATTGATTAACGTTAATTACGAACCTCCTGTTTTTTCTATGTTTATTCACGCACATCGTGAATATAACCAATTCTAAATTAGTATACGTGAATTAATTTCAGCAAGAGGTTCTATATTAGAAAAATCGATACAGGCATTAAATTAACGATACTTTTACTTCGTATACTCCTGCAATGTTTTTTTTTAACATATGTCAACATACATTTCAGCATTAATACATATAATAGGTATAACATTAACAATTCTCTCTATAATATGAAAGATCATTAGTATTTACTATTTATAACTCGAAATAGCATAGTTTCTCATTAAATTATGCATGCTTTGTTGTAATATCATGTTATTCATATCGTATGTCATATACATATGTTATATTATATATTACAACATTATTACCTTATTGTTGCGTGACTTATGACTATGGATCTATTATCATCTAAATAGCCACTTCATATACGTAAAAAATAAATGACCGTGTATATAACGACTGACTAACTTATAGAAACATATAGGGATCAGCTCCGAAAGATTTGCGGTTGTTAAATGTACGAGAGAAAAAGAAGAGAAAAAAAAGGGAGAGCGAGGGAAGGAGA